CCAATGCAGCTATGGACGATTCAATAAAAAGTGCTGAAGATTTAGCGATGCAAACTAAAATTAAATATGGTACGGTACAAGGTGGATCTACGTATTCATTCTTCAAGGTACAATACGTTAAACTAAATTTTTAGGATTCGTGTTATTGTGTTAATTTAGATTCAGGCTGATGAACACAAATGGACAGTAAAATAATTTGAAGATAAGATTTAAGAAAAATGTACCGTTTTAGCGTTCAAATGTGTCAACGTTTCAAAAGATGTGGGGAACAATGGAATCGACACGACCCTCAGTATTTGTTAAAAATAACGAGGAAGGCGTAGACAGAGTAATAAAAATGAAAAAGAAATATGCCTTCCTAATGGAATCAACTGCTATTGAATACGAGTTAGAACGGAACTGTAATCTAATGCAAATCGGTAGCACATTGGACTCTAAAGGATACGGCATAGCTATGCCATTTGGTACGTAAAGAAACGTAACCATTTCCAATGAAGACACTTAGCAAAAATCACGTTATCCCTTTTTACATATATCTTTGTCTATATGTTTTAGACTCATCATACCGCACAGCCGTTGATAATGCAGTACTAAAATTAGCTGAAAGTGGAAAATTAGTTGAATTTAAAAATCGTTGGTGGAAAGTCCCCAAGGAACTAGCCTGTGTTGTAAGCTTTTACTTTTGTTAAAAACTATACTTAGTTTAAATACACGTTGATTTATTATGTACTATTTGTTATCTTACAAAATATCCAAGTGTATCAAACTGATTTCCTAAAAATACATTTAAAGGTCGATTCTGGACCAGACATAAAATAAAGTAGTGTTCATTTTACTATTTTTTAATCTATTAATTTTTATAACTGGCAACATCTCGTCAGACAGCTGGATGGTTGCTTCATTTTTGTTTTTTATGATTGTACTCTATAGTCAGAGGAGGCAGGAGAAGAGGGTGCAAGTGCAGAGGAATTGGGCGTCGACAATGTAGGCGGCGTGTTCGTTGTACTCGGCATAGGCTGCGGTATGGCAGCGGCTATGGGAGGTTTTGAGTTTTTGTGGCACGTCAGAGAAGTGGCTATTGAGCAAAAGGTAATTACTATGATATCCATGCATGTAGGAAGATATACGACAAGTGTAACAGGAGCACGTGGATGGAAGTTCAAAGTATAAATAGTTACATGCACTAGAATGCAATGATAAATTTCATACAATATTTAATAAAGAAAATGTGTTTATTTGAAACAACCTTAAAATGTAAAGCCATGTAAGAATGTAAGAGAGTTAATTAAGAAATATTATTTCTAGATGTCGCAAACGGATGCGTTTTGGGCAGAATTAGCTTTCGCTCTAAGTTTCTGGGAGACCGAGAAGCCCGTTGTTCATTCGAGACCATCGTCATCCGCTTCGGGGTCTATAGCATCGAGGGCGTCCTCGGTACTACGCTCAGCGGCAGATCTCTTCCACCTCGATGTTTTTAAATAATTCAAACCTAATGTGAACTCAAATGCGCTCTCATAGCATGTTATTTGCTTCTATTATACGTTACATTTACTTTAAAACTGACATATTTGTTAATAAAATTCCTTTCTTATTCCATTATTTTTTATTTGCTCTCTTTTTTCCATAAATGCCAGGCGACTGTTACTAATAAAGAAATTCTTAATCGATCTGTGTTGTGCTTTTGAGAAAA